AAACAAAGCTTGCAATATGACCTACGGAACTGGACTGGCAGGGGGCTGTAGCCAAAATGAGTTTGTCTTTAAGCTCTTCATCCATTCATCCAAATTAAGCCTTAACATGCTTGAATTGCATGAATTATGCTCTCTAAAGCCATCATTATTATCTAAAGCCCAATGAACTGAAAGATAAACACAAAAAGGATTAAAAGCACAAGTTTAACTCAAAAACATAACCAAATCATAAGCTAGAAGGGTACAAAATGATATACAATTATGAACCGATCAATCATTTCCTCGCCTTCAACTAGGCGGGCTTGCAGTTCATCCAGCTGAGACAAGTCGAGCAGACCGAGTGCCATGGCCATATCCAAGCAAGACCTGAACTCCAAAATTTCTCCGCCAGCGGTCATTTGTTGAACCCCAAGGAGAAGGAATTCTCGGAGCCGTTCAATGACGGTCTTGGAATCCTCGTCCAAAGGAGCCGAGGCCGAGCTACCTCCCTCCTCGTGAAGGCTGGCGTACAACTCCTCGAGATCATCTGAGGAGCTGGCTTCCTGGGCATGGGAGAGAGGTTGGGTAAGAAAAGACCGGCTAGGGTATAAGGAGATAACAAAAGATTTGATTGAATACTCACGGCGAGCGAAAGATCGGTCATGACCGTGGCTTCAGTTACCACCGGCTCGGCCACGACCGTTAAGTCCTGGGACGACGGCGCAGGAGGCATGGTCGCGGCAACCATGGCCAGCGACAGCGACGATTGGGGAGGCTAGAGACAAAAATTCGGTCAGAAGTATAGTGCAGCTCAAAAGAGAGAACGAGAAAGCCAAGTTTATTGAAAGCGGACTCTTACCGAGTGAAAGGAGATGCCGCTTGGGCGACGAGGGGCGGACGGCAACGGCTCACCAGGCACGTCCGCAGCAGGCTCTTCGGCGGCCTCTTCAGTTGCCTCCTCAGCGACCTCTTCAATGGCCTCCTCGCCGCCCTCGTCGGTGGCCTCTTCGGCAGCCTCCTCAGCGGCCTCTTCAGCGGCTTCCTTGGCGATCTCTTCGGTCGCCTCTTCGGCAGTCTCCTCGGCAGGCGGCACTTTTGTGGACGCAATCTCAGCATCCAGCACCTCAGCCACTTCCTCGGCAGTGACCGCCTCCTCAACCGCCGCCTCTGCGGCTCCCACCTCCTCGACCACCATATGGGCAGCGACCGCTTCCTCTACATACGGCACCTTGGCCGTAGCCTCCTCCTCGACTATTGCCACGTCCTGAGGAAAGAACCAGATTACCAGAATGCACAAAAGAGGAAAAAGGATGCCAAGGAGGAATACTTACGGTTGCAGGGGGGGCCTCACTCACAGTCACGGGAGGAGCTTCCTCCTCACCTCTGCCCTCCGAGAAGGTAAAAAGGGTCCTCTTCCTCGGCCGCTGCAGGGCCGCCGTCTCGGCCGGGCACTTTGGGCCGATGTGGCCTCAATCGTTGCGGCCTCAGTACCTGGCGCCTCTCGGCTCCTCTTGCGACCCGAGGCTACGTGTACAAAGAGAAGAAACAGAAGTGAGATGACCAGGGACAAAAGTGGTTTAGAAAGGCCGGTGAAGAATAAATGATAAGTAGAGAAAATAGGCGAGGCTTACCAGTGACAGCGGTTGGTCGAGCTGGCAGGGAGGACGGCACGGTCCTGTGCTCATGATAAATAGAGAAAATAAGCGAGGCTTACCAGCGACAGCGGTCAGTCGAGCTGGCAGGGAGGACGGCACGGTCCTGTGCGCCAGCGTCTTTCGCGCCCCCACCACAGGCATCGCCTTGCGAGCGGAGGCAGCAGCTGAGGATGGGGCCGCGGTGGGAACGGCCACGGCCGGGGTACTCGGTCGAGGAGGCCCGGCTAAGACCTTCTTCACTTTGCTGCCCTTGGGGGTAAGAGGGTCCCAGTCCGTATTCTTCTGTTTGTGCCTAATAAATCACGGCCATGAGCTGGCCGACGGAGCCCCTTTTTCTCGGCCCTGGCACTTGCTCGTAAAACTGGAACGCAGCGTTTCAACGGGGTGCTTTGCCTTCCTGAGGACAAAAGAAAAATGCTAAGGCATGATCATCACAGCCTCGAGTGCAGGCCGAGGCCGAACGAAATCACGGCCAGAGGCATTAAAGACAAATCATCACGTGACAACAGGGTCCCAGGCTTCATTTAATGAAGTAGTGCCTGTTTAATGCAGCAAACCCACTGGCGACAAATAAGCATTTAATGCATGAGGGAAGGTGGGAAGTGACTGAGGTCAGGATTTGGTGATGAGGATCAGAGTGATTAGACGTAGACATTCTCACAAGAATTCTGACAGCTTGAGATATTGGTTCACCAGCTATCCAGGCCATAAATGCGTCTCCACGGCCAGAAGCTCAGA